CCTGTATGAATTCTGTGATGAATCTTCAAAGAGATGGCGCTACAGAAACATCTTCCGCAAGTTGTACATCGGTGTATTTTCCCCCCGACCTGTCTCCCTCGAAGATATTGATTCGGCGGCGTCCCTTCGCCAGTTCCGAATCCCTCAATGTGCTCGATAGTTGATAACTGTTGTCGGTCATCGTTGCCAGTCGATTGAATATCCTGTAAGTAAATTACAGTAAAAGTTTATCGTAAATAGAAAGTAAACAATGTACTGCTTCAAAAAATCACACTGATGTCTATGATATGCTAAATAATGAATAGCCTTAATTGCAAATTTATTTTGGAGAAAAACCTGGTCATTGGCATATCTTTTCTGCAAAGACTCAATTGTCTTTGAAGTCGTCTGATTGTATTCCAATGATATTGTGGCATTACTCAACAACGCTGAATCCTTCAGCTGCAATGCATTTTCATTTCAGTCAAAGAGTGATAAGTATGTCAATTTTGTTTTCGTTCTTAGCAACTATTTTTTTAAACACTCACTGATTAATCTTATTGCTTTTTGAAGGATTATGAAAGTTCACTTAACAAGAACTATTAAAGTTCTTGGCGAAACAGTTGTTCTGCTTTGTCCTCAAGCTCTTACCTTCGCTGGTCCAGCGCATAAATAATGCACAAGAAGCGATAGAACAAAAATACAGAGTGACGCTCCTGACATGTCTATATTGTTGAATGGGAACCACTGATCGTAATTCTGTAATTTACAGATATTTTTTCAAAATCACATGAGTGAATGTTATCATTACGCAAGGTTTCTGATGTATGCAAGGTAATACAAATATGTGTGATATTATAAAGTCACTGGAATCGACACACATTTCTCACTGTCAGTCATAGCATTCGGAATTGAAATCTATGCAGGCTTAGGGTTTTTTTACTAATGTAATGATGACGTTTAGTTATCTCAATCTGTGTTCAATCTGGCTGAAGCAAAGGAAAAGTAGTGATGGCATCGGTGACGGAAAGGCGACTTTTGGGAGAAAAAGATGATTGAGTCTCACAGCTGAATCTTTTAAA